ACGACCATCCAGCCTCATGGCCTTAATCATGATGGCTTTTTTGCTCGAACGCATGCCCACCTTCAAAGAGGTGGTCGTTACATACGACCATCCAGCCTCATGGCCTTAATTATGATGGCTTTTTTGCTCGAACGCATGCCCACCTTCAAAGAGGTGGTCGTTACATACGGCCATCCAGCCTCATGGCCTTAATCATGATGGATTTTATCTTCGAAACGCATGCCCACCTTCAAAGAGGTGGTCGTTACATACGACCATCCAGCCTCATGGCCTCAATCATGATGGATTTTATCTTCGAAACGCATGCCCACCTTCAAAGAGGTGGTCGTTACATACGACCATCCAGCCTCATGGCCTTAATCATGATGGATTTTATCTTCGAAACGCATGCCCACCCTCAAAGGGGTGGTCGTTACATACGACCATCCAGCCTCATGGCCTTAATCATGATGGCTTTTTTCATACTCAGCCTGTCATCAAGGTTAATCCAAGAATATCGGCTATGCATAAAGTGAATTCGGTAAACAGTAATTTGCAAAAACTTCAATACGCCATTTCATTCATCATCGAGCGAAGGAATTCATTACATTGGCGGTAGCAATTAAGAAAATTTTTTTTTTAAGCATAATACTTCTTTAAATTAGCCACATTCCATGACCTGGCTAGAGATCTTCCTTCAGCATCCTTTAAAGAGTATGCTCCTCCAGCATGGACCTTTTCGACCAGGTATGGTCCTTCCCAGTTTGGCTCTAATTTCCCGACGTGTTTCAGCACATCGACTCTCTTCCAAACTAAGTCACCCACTTGGAATCTTCGTGCCTTCACTTTCCTGTCATGTGCTGCTCGCACCCTTTGTTTGTATGTCTCGACCCTGATTGCCGCCCTTTCTCGAAGCTCTTCAATTGTGTCGAGCGCTGCTAACATCAGGTGTTCATTCTGTTCTCGATCATACGTGCTCGATCTTTGGGACTGAACCTCGACCTCTATCGGTAACAGGGCCTTCATGCCGTATGCCATGCTAAACGGTGTTTCCCCAGTGGTCGATCGGGGTGTTGTTCTGTACGCCCATAGCACCGAAGTAAGCTCATCCACCCACGCTCCCGATGCCTTCTCCAGTCTTGTTTTCAGTCCGTTCAATATGATTCTATTGGTTACCTCAACTTGCCCATTGGCCTGCGGGTGCGCGACCGAAGCGAAGTGTTGGTCAATTTTCATGTCCTCACACCATGCTCGGATCCGCTTACCGTTGAACTGGGTCCCGTTGTCCGACACCAACACCTTGGGAACTCCGAACCTGCAACATATGTTATCATATAGGAAATGTATCACTTTCTCCTCCGTGATCTTTGCCAGGGGCTCGGCCTCCACCCACTTTGTGAAGTAATCGACCGCAACAATTAAAAACTTTCTTTGTCCGGTTCCTTGGGGCATGGGCCCGACCAGGTCGATTCCCCATTGGGCAAATGGGATGGGAGAACTCATCGTTGTCATAGCTTCGGCCGGCTGGTGAATAAGTGGGCCGTGTTTCTGGCATTGCAAACATTTCCGCACCATTTCCTTGGCATCTTCTTTCATCGTCGGCCAGAAATATCCCGCTCTCAGGGCCTTGGCTACCAAGGAACC